TTGCTTGGAGGGTCCGAATAAATAATACACAACCGAATGAATAACGAATTACAGCTAATTATTACACAATCCTAATTAATTAACAAATTAAATAAAATAAATAAGCTAGCATGCAAAACATATGAAATGGACTGCCTCAGCTCGGTCTTGAATGACAGGAATGCATGCATGCTCAAGTCGCCTTGTCGGAAAATCCATCGCGATGCCCAAATTTGCCTCTGTTTGCAACTAGTCCCAGAACACTGTACAAAACTCCAGAAGGCTGAAACTCCACCATGCTATAGGGATATTACCGACCAATTTTTGCTGCTGGCTTCCGGTTTGCTGCAACAGAGAGCAAAAAAGAGGCATGGCAAAGTATTTTCAACATATGTGTGCACGACCACTCTCCCCGTTATTGCATAAGCTCTAGGGAGTGTAGTCCTCGATCCTCGTGCCACAAATCACGCATCTTGATGCATGATGGCTGAGGGGTCGAATTGCATGACTCAATGTGTAATGGATGCACAAATAAACGCAATAAGGCCTAAACTCCATCATGGGTAATCAACAGTGTCGGCGACCGGGAATCGAAGCACGTTTCGTCACTTTGAGTACGAAACGTCCCTCGTTTCCTGTGTTTGGACTAAACCCTACTCCAAACACTATGCAACAACTAGAATGGCATGGCATGCAAACACAATGCAACAACTAGCATGCAATCCTAAACGAAAATGCAACTAAGACATGCAAATAAGCAAGGAATGACATGCAAAGGTGCAACTAGCATACGCAATGCTATGAACTACGAATGTCATACTCAATGCACATGACGCTACATGGCATACACAATGCACATATGATGATAGACATACACAAAGGCATAATCAAGGCATACACAATGCGACGATCAAGCATGCGACAACATGGACATGGCATACACAATGCAAGATGGACTTAAACTAAAATGAATTAAACCAAGATGGATGGGCCTCAGCCACTCCCAAATCAGTGGCCAAACATGATGAAATTAAAGGCAGGAACACTCATGCAAACATGCCCAATGCAAGGGACCGAACTTAAGGCATCAAATGCCACTCTACCAAAGCATGGCAAGGGATGAAATATGGCATACAATCATACATTTTTCAGCTCTGAAATGACATGCAAGATGGTCTCGAATCATGCAAACACCTCACACAATGCATGCTAGATGGCCCGAATACCGAAACTAGTGAAGCGCATTACACTAGAGGTACACAAAGCAATGCACAAATGGAAAAATCAGCCTCAAACAAACCCTAGGCAAGTCCAAGACAGTGGGAAAAGTGGACTAAAATGATGGCTCGAAAGGCATGGAAATGAAGCTCATGCAATGGTCCAAAAATGAGGCATACAAGCACGACTCTCAAACGCATTTAAAGAGTGGAAAACATGGGAATATGGCATATATGTAAGCTCTGAAATATGATGCACAATGGTCCCAAAACATGGAAACACCTCAATATAAGCATGCAATAGGCTCCAAAACTCAAAGCTAGGCAAGGGTATTGAACTACAACCATGCATAGCAAGCATCATTCGACCATGAGGCATAAAAACAGAGCTAAGGAAATCCAAAACATGCATAAAATCAATTTAAAGCGTGGCCAAAAAGTGCTAGAATCAAAGGCTAAAATAGCATGCAATGTAAGCTAGTAAAGAGGATTTGCACTACAAGCATGTGAGGCAAGCAAGAGGTCACCAAACCAGAAAAATCCAGAGGTATGACATGCCAAATAAAGCCCAAAAAACCACTGAACCATGGTCTATGTATGCAAGAATGATAAGCTCCTTTGATAGGCTATAAAGAGGGTTGTTCTACACATGCAAGATGGACACCCAAAATGGAAAAATGGGCTCTAGAAAGAGCCTATGCAGGTCCTAAAACCCACCAAAAATGGCTTGAAACATGGCTTGGAAGCATGCAAATAAGGGCTCCTTTGTTAGGCCAAATATGCTAATAAACAAGACAAGGGGTGAGAGGGTCACCCCTCTCTGATTTTGGTGTTCAAAACAGTATGCTAGCCACTGAAAATCCATTGGATTTCAGTGGCTAAGAGACCAAACAAAGGTCAATGCAAAGGCCCTAAGGCATGGCTCAAAATAAGATGAAATGAAGCATGCAAAGGGGGTAGATGACCCCCAACAGAAAAATAGTCTTAAACAAACATGTTGAGAACCTCAAAATAAGATTTTTTTTCAGTTTATGACAAATCCCAAATATGCTTGCAAGTATAGCTAAAAGATGAAGCAAAATAAAGACCAAAAGAGGGAATATGGTGTTATCCTTGAAGCTCAAGCACTCCAGCAGCTTCTGGACCAAAACAGTAACTCCTTAGCCTCTAAAAACAAGCTCCAAGGTGCTTAGGTTGATAG